TTTTTTTTACCAGACAAAACTAAACAACGGATATCTCTAACTGGCATTTTGAGCCGTCGTTGTAGATCTCTTGAATAAAAAATTCTGACTTCTGAAATCAAAAATCGAAATGATAAATGTTGACAACCATGAACTCCTGCCTCATAAGCTTTTGCGAGCACGTTTGCGGAGCGGTTTCCACTGCAACACAGAATCAAATGGTGCAACACAGCTTTCTGAAGCTACAAAAGCTTCTCAAAGTTAAACTTGACGTGTAAGCTTTGCACTATTCATTTCACCTCGAGCTAAAACCCATTCATTACCCCGAGTCGATCGGAATGAACTGATTTCGCAGCTAAATGCAACCATTTTACAAGCTGGTGTGACCGAGACTTTTGAAGAAATAAAAGGCGAATTAACAATGTCATCATGACTCAGTAGTAGATTCATCGAGTTGGATCTAAACTAGATGGATGTGTAAAACATGTTTTCTCTTTGCAAACCAAACACTGCTCTTTGGTACATTCCATTCACCCCATGAAATGTAAGCGACGTGAAATGTCGTTAAAAACTTTAAAAGGGAATCATATACATCAAAAAAGGTTGTGCATACCTGAGAAAGATAAAAACAAAAAGAAAAAAAAAAGACGCCATAAATCGAGGCGAGAGGGTGGAAAGGAAAAGGGGGAGGGGCTAAAATGTAGTTGAAAGAGAAAAGAGATTCTTTGTTCAAAGACTCGGCAGTTCTCCTCACAACATTACATTCAGTTACATCAGCCACACCTAGTTTTTCCTTTCTAATTCAGCCATCGCCCACTCTGATCCGAAATAAAAAGGGGAGAAATGCAGCAATCAAGGAGCTTTTCTCCCACTGTCTTTAGAAGTGTAAGTCATGTGTGAAACCCTCAGGCGAACATGTACACACACACACACACACACACACTCTTCTGTGACGTATTATACATGACTAAAGCCGGCCCTTGTCCTTGTAGCACCAGCTGATGAGTCTCGTTAAGGCCAGCTCGTAAGGAGAGGGCTGTCTCCGTGGCAACAGCTTGGTGACATCATGTCTGTTACGTGACGTCTGACGAATCGGACGTCAGCAGTAGGAAAATGTGTGTTGTTGTTTTTTTTTTTTTTTGGTTTGAAGAGTCAGTTGAGCAGCAAGGCTTCATCGCGTTGTTCTTGTTCAGCCTTAGGGTGGTCAACAAGAGGCGTGTGTGCAGTTTCAGGGCCGCGGTGTTCTGAAGGAAGAACACCCGCCTGATTGTTAGTGTCCCTACGCTCTGATGTGACGTCTCAGAGCATTTTCGGCGTGTGCTTGTCGGCTAAATACGTTTCCACATCGTCTCGGTGGCGCGTCAGTAAAACTTGTCGTCGATGCGAAAGTGCGGCCTGGTGACATCATCGGGGTTCAGGAAGACGGATATGGATTTCCCAGGGTTCTCTGTGACCAGCTGCTGCAGCCGCTGCGCCAGCTTGTCCTCTGAAGGCGAGATGATGCCATTGGCTGGGTGATGCCCGGGGGAGCCGTGGCCGTTCGTGCTAGCTGTTAGCTCCTTCTTCAGCTGGCCCGCCTGCTGCGCTTGGTCCAGGGCCGCCCGGAGGTGCTCGCTGGGATCCGAGCGCACGTGGGCCAGCTTCCTGGCGACCAGCAGCGCCTGGCTGTCGGTCAGGTGCTCCAACATGTTGCACTGGGGGAGGAAGTAATTTGGACAGTTTTTACCTAGAATGCAATGAGCAAGGTCATCCAGCAGACCCAGCAGGAGGCGGCCGGGGGTGTCGGCGTCGGGGCAGGACAGGTAGGCAGCGGGGAGGCGGTCACAGGCCCAGAAGAGAAGGGTACGCAGGTGGTAGAGGCTGAGGCCTGTGCGAGGACGGGCCAGGATGCGAGACAGTACCGCCTTGGCTGCTTGGAAAGCCTGAGCCATGGGGAAGGGGATGCACTTCTTCAGCTGAACCTGGTAATGGGAGATACAGACGACTAATGAGTTAAAAATTCAAGATATAGAGAGAAAGCACAAGAGATGCGAAAAGTAAGAAAAATCGCACAGAACCAAATAAAAACCAACAATCCCCGTCACCTCGCTGCGTGAGAACGCCAGCCTCCACTCTCTGTCAGGCCGACCACCCAGTGGAGAGCAGCAGGGCAGCAGATAGAAGCCAGATATGGCTTCCTCCTCTGTGATTTTACCATCCCAGAAGTGGTTGGCAGTCAGCCAGCCTTGGGCCACAGCAGGCCAGCCCCGAAACGACACCACAGGCAGCAGGTCGTACAGCACCCGGCTCGAGCCTGCCTGCAGGGAGGAGAGGGTGCAGGAATATTACAATATCACCAACACGGCCCTTAATTTCAGTCAGTGTTGCGGGAAGACTTCTTGAAAAATTATTCTAACATTTGACTACAGCGTCCTGCAATATTGATTTCACACCACAAACGTCCTCTTAAGATGAGCAATTTTCCAACACAACTCCAAAGTTAAGCAGCCTGATGTTCTTTATTGATTCAGACATAATGAGTCTAGCTCGCTTCAGTTTATCATCTTTACAGCACAGAAAGAAGCACCTAATCTGTACCTGAAGGATGATGGTAGTGAGGGGTCCGTTCCTCTCCAGTCGGTCGGGGGTGGGGATGCCTCTCTGGGGGCTGCGTCTCAGCTCCTCCACCGCCTCGCTGACAACCCCCCAGAACCAGTCTGTCACCAGGCTGGGAGAGAAGTAGCAGCCGTCCAGAGACTGGGGAGAGTTCAGGGCGGGAATGGAGGCTTTACCTAAAGCAGGGGAAAGGATGAATTAGCCCCTCGACGCCGATTCATCTGGTGCCGTCGCAGAGGACAGAGATTTTATGTTCAGGGTTAAAGTGTAGCAGGCGAGTAGACGGAGTCACACAAGAATCTTCTGTATTTTCTGCTCTCAAGAATACAATACTCTGAATCATGCAAATGTATAATATGGAATCAGGTATGAACTGTCTAATCAGCTGGTTATCTGTAGTTTTAAAGAAATAAATCAGTGAAAACTACACTTCAAAGGCTTAGTCGCAGGTGTAGAAGCCGATTACTGGAACTGTGATTGATGCAGGGATGGCAGTGAGGAATAGAAAACCGACTAGCTGTGTTCAAACACATCCATGTATGCTGTTGGGCTGCCCACTGAAAGTCAATGCTTCCAAGCATCAGTCAAAGCACACGTAGTACGCCATCCACTCCCAAAGTCAAAGAGGACGCTGTGCAGCTTAAAAATGACCATTCGATTTGTACTCATGTCGCTTTTGCCCTCTTTCTAACCTTCTAGTGGGATTTTGTTGTGATACATATCCACGCTATAAACTAAGCCTGACTAAATCACCCCGTCCTGCCGCCGTGACATAAGATCCTGCAGGAAATGTTGTGATATCCAGAAAATGCCGGCAATGCGTTTCCCAAATTGCTAAAAAATTAAGAGTTTCAGATCAATATAGGTCATCACTTTTTCTCATCTCTGAAGTTTCACACTAAACGTGTGGCGGATTGATGCCGCGCTGTGACACGGAAGCTGCCGCGTGCTGTTGAACTTTCGATTGTTAAGTTATTCTCATAAATGTTTCAGTGTTTATTTCCTGGGCAGGCCTTTTTCTCGCTTCGCCCATCTGAGGAGTGATATCGGTTGGTCTCCGCTGCAGCTCACCAAGCAAAATTGCATCAAAACATCATGCATCAAATTATCTGAGTGAAACATGGGCAAAAATTCAATCAGCTCCCGTTCCCTCCACCCTGCAACTGCTGCACTACCTCCATCATTGTTTATTGCCCTTGTTTTCTCTCTTCACTTCATCTTTTTATTGTATATTCACGCCCACCTTTCAATCCGTCCCCTACTTTACCTACTATCCTTGCTGCTCTTATTTCCCATCTTGCGTCATCTGTTCACCTTTTGTTCCCCCTTTTCCTCATTACCGATTCCTCCTTCCGCGCTCTTCCTCTGTCCTTGCGGTAATTATCCTACTTTTTCGACTCACCCATTTCCCCCTCTTCCTCCTCATCTTCCTCGGTGGGAAGGCCATTTTCCTCCTGGCAGCAGATGCTCCAGCGGGACAGGATGTTGGAGTCGCAGAGGCGGAGGCTGAGCCATGAGTGGCAGGGCGGCGAGTGCCTCATATCCAGGGTGACCGGCTGGTTGCGGTCATGGAGCTTCAGCGCCGGCACCAGCAGGGTGAAATCCAGGTCGAAGTCGGCCCCTTTAGCGTAGTCTCCCAGGTCCTCGGGGTTGAGGTCCAAGACGCCCTCTCGAGCCCCGCCTGACAGCAGCAGGTACTCGTTGGCCACTGGGAGGCGCTGGTCCACCTTCTGGACTAAGCCTGCGAGGGTTGGGGGGGAGGTGAGGAAGAGAGAATCAATCACACTCAGCAAAAATTCACAGTCATTTGTATGTGAGGAAGTGCGTTTCCGCCGGCAGAACTGATGCAAGGAGCAACGAGCGGAAAGGGGTTCTCGCTCGCTCAGATGCAGACGCACATTAAAACGCGTTTCATATTCAGATGCACAGACAAGTGTGTGGACAGCAAACACACTGGCAACAGAAAACAGCAGGTCTACAAGTCAGCGAGCCTGGAAAATTTCCGACTTGAGAGGTACTGCATATATTTATGAGTCGGAGCTGCAGTAATATTGACAAAAGAGGGAGTGTGAAATTAACAGCCCCCCGCACGCAGTGGCCACCGCACTCGGCGCTAGTGCTTATTTTAGCGGCTGCATGTGTGCTCAGGCGATGCTTCGATTCAGTTTTCATACACTCTGTACAAACAGGAGGCAACCAACACCATGACCAGCAGGAGGATCGCTCCTTTTACACATCCACAGGAACCAAGCAGATAGATATGACTTCGGGGATACATAGAAATCGGCCGAGTTTGATTAGTTAATTGCCGAAATTTGGGAACATCTCGAAGAGGAAGCTGGATGAAGCAAGAAATACGAGCAATCAAATGATTATCTTATTATATTCTCATTATATTTTTGGCCTGGCTGCACCATCATTTCGGAGAGTGCTAAAAAGCATTCCTCACTCTCCTATCTGAGCAGTTTATATGAGAGAAATTCGAGCCTCCAAATCCCTTTATGGCTACTTAGCTGTGTTGTATACTTCGCAGGCTCTGGGCCCACGGGAGCTGCAGCAGTGGAGTCGAGTAAATTATGTTTTGCCAGCTTAAAAGAGCAACTGAGAAAGGGTTTTAATGTTACAGCCAAACCTCTGCTGGTCCAGCGCTAACTGCTAGCTACTACAGGTCAAAGGTGCGGCATGGACACTTCAAAACCCTTCACAGGGGAGAGATTGTTAGAGCCTGAGCCTGAGTGTTTATCCCCCCAGGGCAGTTAAGCGGCTGCAGAAAGCTGAAACGGGGGCATCAGACCAAGCCAGCAGGCTATGGCTGGGGGCACAAAGCTCCTAACATGATCGCTCTCATCCTGTTACATGGACACACAACCTTGGTGGCAGGATGCCATGTGGTGTTTTCATGTTCAGGCCTCACTGCCACGGCACTCAGCTAATGGGGATCCTTTCAAGAAACAAATTACAAATGTCGAAGCATGCGTGGGTACCTAAGCGTGTTTAGATGTGAAAAATTGTGAGAGTGAAAAATCCACTAATCCGAAGGCCATTCTGAAAAAAACCTCCACTTCTGGAAAAAGGTAGAGCAGTCAGGCGAAATATAAAAATATAAGAAATAAGTGGGAAATAGGAGGGAAAACATCCAGAGATTGAAAATGAACTAAAGTGGAAGTCAAAGTCAAATGTGCTGACGAGGATCTCTCTGGTGCTTTGCTTTGAAAAGGAGTAAAAAGAAAAGGCCTCATTTGACACCACCACCGGGGGAGCCGCCGACGAGAAGAAGGAAAGGAAGAAGTATGTGACAGCTCGTCTCTGGATCTTCGTATTTCTCTGCAGGATCGGCTCATCTCCTTCTACAAGCCCCATTCATTTTCTGACTAAACTAGTGCAGCTCAGTCATAAGGACTGGAGCTCCCATTGGCCCTTCTCCAGAACACTGCTGCTCCTCTGGATCTCCAGCCTCCCTGAGCCCTCCCAGGACATCTGCAGGAGTTCCTGCCAACACCAGCATCAAAATTTAAAGAAATGTTTCACTCTATACAAGTGTTGCTTGGATAACTCAGTGAAGATCAGAATTAAGATGCAGGGAACTGTCTTGTTATGTGTTGTAAATAATGATGATGTGTGATAGTGGGGAAGAAGAAATTCCCTGAATAAGCTCTTCACACCGAACCCATCATTATCAATACAATGATCCCACTTAAGGGGCAGCCACCAGGCCTCTTGACACTCCAGAGAGTGACTTTCATTTGCAGCCTTAAAGAGTTTTAGGGGTTGTAGAGGAGTGGGGAAAAGAGCTGTGTAGAGGTAGTTATAACACTTAGCATATCCTAATCTACAAATGAGTTCTAAAGTATTCAGAACAATCAGTTTTGCACATTTTTTGTAATAATTCTAAACAGATAAAGTTGTCATTTTTGCCTACAGACTAGAAAATTAGTACAATAGCGAGTACAACTAGACATCTGCAGCTTTTCAAGTGGGAGTATGATCAAGGCCCAAGACCAAGGATGCCCATCTCAGCACTCACAACATCAATAAGACCTTTATACCAGAGTGGCGAAATGGAAGTAAACTCAAGCACAAGGCTTACGACAACCCACTTGAAGTTTGCCAAACAATATTTAAAGGATTCAGAGCATGAAAAAAAAGAAAGATCCTCTAGTCTGTTGAAAAATTGACCTTGGCAGGAGCACTATGTCTGGCGAGCAGCAGTCGTTGCTCATCACCTGACTAATACCATCCCTACGGTGAAGCATGGCGGCGGCAGCATCATGCTATGTGGGTGATTGTGAGCGGCAAGGACAGAGAGACCGGAGGACAGATGAATTCATCCAAAAAAAAAAAGTCCTAGAGGAAAACCTGCTGCAGAGAGCGTTCCTCTTTTAGCATGACAATAATCTGAAGCATACAACCAAGACGACGCTTGAGTGAATTCAGCGCAGGTCTCTGACTGTCCTTGAGCAGCCCAGGTTGAATTCAATTACGCTCACAGCAGTGCTAAGTTGCTGCAGCAGAGAGCAACCTGCTGATTGGTGGAACCCAGGAATAAAGCAATCTCAAGTGAATAAAAAATGATGAACATTAAAGGTGAAGCAGTCATTAGCATTTTGTTGGAAATACTGTGTTCTTGAGATACGAATACATCCTTGTGTCAGTTTTTGAGTTCACTATCAATTAAAGTAAATATAGCTTTTAAGGATTGCACAGTGGGAGAAAAAAGTTTTATAAAGATAGACCGGTTGAAGAACCCCGCAAATCCCAATTCGCCAAACAGTCAGCCTCGATATAAATGCAATCATTAATACTCCTTACTCCTTATTAAAGAGGTCTTACAGATCTTAATAGAGTAAAATTTCATGTGACGGGTCCTATTAGTCTTCGGAGCAGGGTTACAGGTTGTTAGAAAATATCATTTGGTGAAGCGTTCAAAGTGATTAAAGTAACCAAATGCATCATCAATGAGCCAAAGTGATAGTATAGTGATCAACAAGCTGAATCTGTAAGGCTAATGCGCTTTATTTTTGGTAGATATAAATCGAGCAAGAGTGATTTCAGAAAGTCAACAACTGACAGCAGATGTGATGTGCCTTCAGTAGCTGCAAAAAGTGCATCATACTTAACTCATATGTCCTCTGTCTGAGGTGAGTGTTTGTGCATGCCGCTGGTGTTACCAAGCATGACCAGTTGATTATCACAACTTGAAATCTGTTGGGCTGGAAAGAGGGAGAAGGAGCGGAAACGGCGGATGGGCAGATCAAAGCGAAGCAAAAGAGGGGAAAGCACAGTGTCAGAGGGAGGAGCAGATCAGACGCCAGCCAAAGGGCAACGAGCTTCAAGCTTCGGCTCCTCTGATTTGTTTGGTTTTATCTGCCACTGATAAATTGAGTCAAATAGGCGAGGAGGAGGAAAAGAGTGATGAAAAAAGAGAATAAAGAGCATCTTATCTCCCTAGTTTCAGTTAGAGAGGGGGAGCGCAGGGGAAAAACTGTATCAATTAGCGAGGCCTCTTCAGTCTCCACGCTGGCTGCAGGAAGTTTTGAGGTTGTTCCAAAGAACACAATTTACTTTTAATACAAACTCTCGAATCGACAGTTGCATGCCGCCTTGCTGGGCATCTGCCAGGAAGCAGGCGCGCACACGTGAATGCACGCATGAACACACTCCAGCACCATGTGCCTATAGACACACACAGTCTGAGAATAGAGCTGGAATGGAGACAGTCTAGGCTGGTTTCACAGCCACGGATTAAACCTAATCCTATAAGAAATGTCTTTGAATGTAGATTTCCATTAGAGGGAAGTTTTTTGGTTAAAAGCTATTTCTAGACCGGACCCAATTCTATGTGTGTGAAACGACCATTTGATGGCTATTGGTTTCTCCATCTGTCTCAGCATGTGGTAGCAGGAAGACCTACCTACCTGCACGGCATGTTTACACCTCCGTCCAGTATTTCCAATTTGACCGATAAAGGTTGAGAATGTTACTTGTGGTGGATTGTATTCTTATTTTGGTTAAAAAAAGATGCATGTCCATACAGGCACATCTTCAAATTAACTTTCATGCATCGTATTAAATATTTAAAAGCTTTTACATCATACCATGTAGTAAAATGATGAAAAGAATTCTCAAGGTTAAAAATCATGCAGCCTGATAGGAGAGTGGCCAGGGCGCATACCACAAGGGCACAAATGCCCTGAGCAGAGAAGCCTTCCATGCTGTATGTCATTCCCCTGCTCGCTTTCCTCACATGCCCCGTCTATCTCCGCTGTCACATCAAAAAAAAAAAAAAAGCACCCCGTTAAAAAGAAATACTGTGTGGTGCAATCAAGGAGCAATCATGCTGTTGCTACAGTCTTTAAAATAACCTGCTCCATAACTTGAGGCTGGGAGAAAAAAAAAACAAATGTCTGATTTTAACATCAATAAATCATCATAATCCTGGTGGATAACTATGATTAGCACAAACATGCTCCTCTCTGCTCTGCATTTTACTTTATGGAAAGCACAGGTGTTTCACTACAACAGCAATGCGGCAGTTTGAATATGAAAACAATGTTTTACTCCAGTTTATTCTCAGTGGGGGAATATTTGAAAAAAACTGACATTATAATATTCAGTTTTTCTGTTTTATACACTGCGATGTGCAAAATATTGGGGAATTTTCACCTGACGGCTTGAACAAATCTAACTCTTGTGTGGTGTGCAACAATTGTACGACAATGTGCACATCATTGCATCAAATTA